TCACGTCCTCATTTTAAAAAAGCGGATGTATTGGAACCAATCCCTATATATATATATTTATGGAACAAAACTAGTACAAAAATATTGATAGCAACATTACACAATATATATACGAAGATTTATCACAACCTTAGGTGAGCGAGTGTTATAAGTGACATAATCCTCCTCCCTATATATAATTTCAGAATGCGTTGAGCCTACGTGGCTGCTTTTGGTGCTTCGGAATCTTACTTGGAAAAAAATCATGCTTCGTAGTTAGGTTTGGACAAATAATATTATATATTAATAATTAATAATATAGGTTCGGGAATTCCATAAATATTATTTATCTAACTTAGGTATTTTAATATCAATTGTACTAATATAACTCTTTAATTCTTTGTAATTTTAGATAGTGAGTCACTAAGTGACTAATATATCCTGACTTCTGATTTATTTCCTACAATTAGCTATTGAATTGTAAACGTATTTTAAAAGTTGATAACTTTTGTATTTCTTATCGGTTTTACATATATAATATATTAAATTAATCATCTTTTGATGATCTTCGATTTGACATCCATATTGTATATATGAAATAAATAAATTATATTTATCTTTATAATAATAAAAAATAATAATATTCACTAAAATTCATTAGAAAAATAAAATTATTTCTCAATTGATATATTTATGTTTAATGTAGTTATATGTTGTAAGTTAAAAAATTAATTATTATAATATAACACAAGTAAGTCGCACAAATAAAAAGTGTCATACTAAATATGATAATATAAATATTTTTAAAATATATTTTAATTTTCAACTACCTTTTCAGTAATTTACAATTTTAAGAAAAACAAAATTAGCAAATACCCGTGTAATACACGAGCGTTGTACTAGTGCCATTGTAAATAAAAATAACAATGCATTTTTCATTAAGTATTTAACATATTTATAATATCGTGCTAATTATGATTTAATTTTAATTTACACTGATGTAAGTACAAATAATATGTTTAGAGAAATGCTACAGTCTTATTACGAAACCATTCTGTCGAGGTGACCGTTAGATCAACTACTATTTATGGTTACATAATAATCTAACAGTTTCAAACTTTGACTGAATAATTTCGTAACAGGCCCGTGACATCTCCATAAGAGGGCTCCATTAGTTCCCTAATATTACTCGGTTTGTAAACCCAGCCATTCCCCAGCTCACATGTTTTTATAGTCACCTTCTCTAAAGTCAAATCATTTGCCAACAATAATTAATTAATCAATTAATCTCAGTTTATAGGGAAATGCTACATAATCTTCTTGTCGTGATTGTAACCATTAGATCATTATGTATCGTTGGAGATAATTGATCTAACTGTTATAAATAACGCGTTGTATTTTGCCGCATATTATTAATAATCCTTTATTTTTTTATTTCCATTTACCGAAAAATCATTCAAAATATATTTCTGCTCCTCACAAGTTGCTACTATTTTCACCAGAGACAGAGATTTGATCAGTTTTTTTCATCAGATGCTTGTTCCTGCAATTTTTTTTCATCAGTTTCAGTGATCTGAAAAAACCCTAATCGGGTCAGGTACATGGTGTTCGTTCATATTCGATCATGCACAAAAGATCTCACTAATGTGCTGCTATTGTTTGGATTGATGTGACTGATCTTTGGTGAAACAGAGCAGATCTAGGGTTTAAAATTTCAATTTTTTTTTTTTTTTTTGGGTTATGATTACATATGTATGTTGTTCATGTTATTCGTGAATTTATTCGAGTGGGTTTGAATTTTTTGGTTTTGTAATCTGCAGCGGAGCTGCATTTGGTGATTTACTCGCGTTTTTGTGTAGAAAGAGTGGAATGAGGTAAAGAGGTGTTGTTTAGCTCTCGCTTGAGGTTAAAGTTTTTGGGGTAGAGGCATGAATTGTGTGGAAATATTGTGTTTTGATGTTTGTAGATACTAAGACATTGGATTGGGAGAGGTGAGAAAAAGATGAGTGAGGGCAAGAAGTATCAGCTGGGGACGATTGGGGCGCTGAGTCTTTCTGTGGTTTCGTCAGTTTCGATCGTGATCTGCAACAAGGCACTAATCAGCACTCTTGGGTTCACGTTTGGTGAGACGTTATATTTGTTTTCAGATCATCAAAATGAGATTTTGAGTAAAAAACAGTAGTGTTACTTGTATTTTCTGGTTTTACACTTTGAGCAGCGGTATTTTCATCTCTTTCAGTTCTAAGTTTATTGACATTGTACTTTTGTCGTTTGTCGATCAATGCTTCAATTCACGATAGCATGTGAATCATGTTGTGGGCGAGTGGCTTGATGTGAAAGTTTCCTTAAACGTCATTTCTCTTTCTTCTTTTACTCGTTCGTTTTTGTTGGAGAATCTGTTAAGAGTTGGATAGTTCTGTTCATATTGTAGAATATAATAAATGCTCTATCGACACCTTGACTAGCTCATTCTATTTGCATTTATGATGTTTCTGGTTTGCATTCTTCACTTTCTTTTCCCCGATTGATTTGATTGGCACGTTTCGTTTAAAGAATGAAAATTTTCTTGACTGGAGCCATAAAATGTGGTAGGAAATATTTGGAGTTTAGATGTGAATAAAAGTGTTTAAACTACGAGGGCGTGGAAAATGAGGTCCATTTTTTGAGATGATGATGGTTTTCGTATCTCAATTTGTCAAATGATTCTGCCAAAAAAAGGGCCTCTTCATGATGCGTAAATATGACAACAGTTTGGCGTCTCAAGTATTAAAATTACGAAACAAAATATCTGACAAGTTGTACTTTCTGTTTCCACAAATCTTAATTCTCTTATTTCGACAACAAAAAATACATTTCGTTAGACTTCATGATTCTCTTGATTATTAAAGGAAACTAGGCATTGCCGCACAATAAAATTTGTGGTGCTGGGGTTGACTAAGTAGATGGCAGCATTTTCCATTTTAAATCTGTTTGTCACGCTCCACGAAAAATTTTGTTTTGTCGTTATTTACCTCGTTGAATTTTCCAAAGCTTGCATTTATTGGAAGCTACCCATGTGCTTTGTCGTTTCTCGCAGCAGCTATTCTTTCTAGACTTGCTCAGTAAGTTACTTTTTTAACCCTATTTTACTTTCTCAGCTACTACTCTGACTAGCTGGCATCTCCTAGTCACATTTTGTTCTCTTCATATTGCTCTATGGATGAAATGGTTTGAGCACAAGCCTTTTGATCCTAGAGCCGTCATGGGATTCGGGATTCTAAATGGAACATCAATTGGGCTTCTAAACCTCAGCCTGGGTTTCAACTCTGTTGGCTTCTATCAGGTTCATTTTTGCTTGCTTAATCATATTTACGTTCTGTAGTTTTTTATATGTAATTCGTTATCGTAATACCTTTACATGCTTCATAGAAGGATAACACAGTCACCTTATAAGGTTAGTTTAAGTTGTAGCTGCAAGCCATAGTTTGAATTTAATGTTACCACATGTGGCACATGGAAGCTGTTTTTTATTTTGGATTCCCATAGTATAGATAACCTAAGGGTCCTAGTCATGAGAATGATGCATGTAATTGTAGAAGTGAGAAACTTGAAATGCTATCTATGCAGCTAAGTGAAATGGACATGTTAATAGAACTCTGCCGCAATTGTTATGACTTTAGTAGTGCTTAAGGTTAAGAGAGATCGTAGAGCAATGCATTTTGATTTCTAACTGAGTACTATTTCTTGTTCCTGTTTGTTGCTAGCTAATAATTACTTCCAATGTAATCTGCTGTTGACATTCTTGTTGTGTCAAGGTTGTATTCTTGTTATTCTCTCTCATCTATTTCATGTCTGAGTATTATCATTCTTACTCTGTCGTTCTATAATTATTCCATGACTATTAAATTTTCAAATGTTCATCTCTTATTGATTTATGCATGTCAGATGACAAAACTGGCGATTATCCCATGCACTGTTCTTTTAGAGACCCTGTTCTTCCGAAAAATATTCAGGTCAGATCTTTGCATCTGTGGAGTTTCAGATCTCTTTGAAGTTTTTGGATCTTCCATTTACGCAACACTCTCAATTTTATTTTCAGTGTTTTTTCACGATTGGTCATGATGAATATTCATATTCTATAAGAGAAATGCTTGTTCTTACCAAGTTACCAATATTCTTCAAATGCCATTAATTCACACACTTTAACATTGTTAAAGATCTCTTGAATAAAACTGTATTTACAAAGAAAAAACTACTGCCACACTTCCCAATATTTGACCCAACAATACTCATTTTCTCATTGCCATCCTCGTTATCTTCCTTTGCAGTTCCATCCACAAAGTATGATACATCATGCTAGTACATACCTGGAACCTGCCACTGCTGCACTTTTACCTTAATAGAATAAACTTGATATTTTCTGCCTATAATGTTGATTATCTGACGGGTCACATTAGAAATCTCTAAGGGGACCACAGATGGTGCTTTGCTTGAAATAAACTGATCAAAGGTTAACTAATTATAGTATTCCCTTTGTCATAAGAAAATTAAGCACTGTTATTTTGCTGCGACACTTATAAATATTTTCGTAGTCGTATATTCTCCCTAAGATTTAGAAATAAACCTTGTCAATGTCTCAGTACACATCTCCATGCATATATATTTCTTTTCATTTTTTTCTTGTTGAAATATATTAAATCTGGATGCTGTGAGTATACATCGGTTAACATCATAACATGGAACTATTCCATGTATTTACCTTGTCACATATCAGTGTGTTCACGTATGAAGTTTCAGTTTTGGTTGTTAATACTTTCTTCGTTTTCAGTAGGAACGTCCAGGCATCCCTCGGTGTGCTTCTCATTGGTGTTGGAATTGCAACTGTGACAGATCTGCAACTCAATGTCCTGGGTTCCGTTTTGTCTCTACTTGCAGTTGTTACGACTTGTATTGCACAAATCGTATCCTTGGATATTTTATTGTGCTTAGATTCCTTATATGTGCAATCAAAAACTCATGCAACTCTTTCCATATGTTTGACCATCCCAAAGAAGTATTTCCAATCCCACATTACAATTTACATTGTTCGTCTTCCATTTTTTCTTCGGGAAAATTTCCAGATATAACGGCTACACCTTCATTTGACATACCAAAATTTTATTTTTATTGTTATTATTTCTTTTTATTGAACCTGTCAGCAGTTTCTGGATCTTTCTTAACCTTGGTTACAATCAGATGACAAACACAATCCAGAAAAAGTTCAAGGTTTCTTCAACACAGCTTCTGTACCAATCATGCCCCTATCAGGCACTCACTCTGTTCCTAACTGGACCGTTTGTCGATGGACTTCTCACAAACTTGAATGTATTCGCGTTCAATTATACCCCTAAAGTATTGGTGAGTATCGTGAACTTCTTCGGGTTTTTCTGTAGCTGATAGATAATATAAGGCGCTTGACATTGAATTTTTCTCCCTGCAGGCATTTATTGTCCTATCATGTTTGATATCAGTTTCGGTGAACTTCAGTACCTTTCTTGTAATTGGAAAGACATCGCCAGTCACTTATCAGGTCTTAGGGCATTTGAAAACGTGCCTTGTCTTGGCCTTCGGTTATGTTCTTCTACGAGACCCCTTTAGCTGGCGGAACATTCTAGGGATTCTTATCGCTATAGTTGGCATGGTATTATATTCGTATTATTGCAATATGGAGAGCCAGCAAAAGGCCAATGCAGAAGCAGCACAATTATCTCAGGTTATTTTGATCTCTCTGTAGTCTTTTAATACATATCCCTTCCCCTTTTAATATATATCAACAAGTCCACTGTGACTCTGTGAGACAGTTTTTAAGCATATAACTATTAGTAACACCTTTTGAATTCAAAAGCCATACTATTGAAAACAACTACTAATATTGTTTTACATGCATATTTGGAAAGTATAACTTCTAATCTTATAAATACACGATAGTTTATTTGAATGTGATACATGGATAAGACAGTATAATATGATAACCGTCTCTACATTATGATGAAATTGATGTGCTGATTTATGCTATTCTTCAAATTTATGAAGGCCAAGGAAAATGAGTCCGATCCTCTATTAAATGTTGAAAATGGAGGTGCTATTTTAGCCGACTCGAGCGTTGGAAGAGATCCAGGGTGGAAATCGAACAAGGATCTGCAGGCGTAAAACTTTTCAGGTTATCATCAATTCATTTTACCTTAGTTTAAAATATGGGGTGAAAGAAATAGTCTCGTAAATGAAGATGTTGCTGCAAGGGATAAGGCACTTGCTTCAGGCCTTTTTGAGTTTGTGTCGTCAGATAGAATTATTATTCGATTAAAAGTAATGCTAAAGAAGGATGTCTTTATGAGGAACAATTTTGTATTTTTACAATAGGCGCGCCGATATAGTCCATAATCTTTAATTGTTGTTTTATTTTTATTGTCTGAAGCAAATGCTGCTGCAGCTTTGATTTGAATGTGTGATAGTTCAGTAAAAAGTTTATTGGTATGTTCATGAAAGTTCTGTTTAGCAGTTGTGTAAAGCTGTTTATAGGTAAATCTATGCATATTGATGTGGACTGTGTTTTCGGAAAATTGCGCCAAAGCGAAACTGCTGTTATTATTAATTATAAGTTCGTTGATTGTTTTAAGATGTTAATTTTCGTGGTTTGTATAGTATAACGGGTCAATCCGTCTAATCATTAGACTGCAAGTAGATTTATGACCTGAGGTATATTAAGTTATGTTTGGTAAACTTAGCTGATTAACTAGTTTATAGATTTTAAGTGAATTTCGAGCTTATAGGTTATAGCTGATAGTTTATGACTTATGGTTGAAAAACTACCTATATGATAAAAATGTTTAGTAAAATTAGTTGATGGGGTAGATAAAATAAAAATTTTCACTAAGCTTATTTGAAAAGCTACCCAATAGTGCTTACGAGATAAGCTCGAGCTTTTTAAAATACTAGTCCTAACGATACAAACTTAGTTGACTACAGTAAAATTTGGTAGACAAACATGGTAGTTTTTAACTTATTTGGTTAGTTTATAAGCTTTCTATATTTAAATAAGTTTCGTTTGGTTGGACGAGTTTATCTAAAAAAACTCGAATTTATCTAATGAGCTTATTTGGGTAGTTTTTTAAATAAGCTCGTTGAAATTTTTATTTCAGCTAGCTGTCTGCTAATTTTATCAATTACTTTTATCATATATAAACTAGTTTTTCAGCTATAAGTCATAAGTTATAAACTGTAAGCTCGAAAATTAGTGATAAACTATAAGTTAGTTTATCAGCTACCAATTAGTTTTACCAAACATAGTCTAAGTTTATAAGATAATCAAATAAGCTATGAGTTAATTTATAAAGTTAATCAAACACAACTTATAAGTTAATCAAATATGCTATAAGCTAGTTTATATAGTTATCAAACACAACCTTATTAGAGAGATAAATTTATGATTTTATCTACCCAATGAATATATAAATAACATAAATGAATCCAAACACTTCCATGGACAAAATAATACAATTTTTTTAATATTTATTGCAATTAATATCTTTGAAATTTCTTACATAGTACTACAATTTTGAAAAACAAAGTGTGAATTATATTTGTTATAAATTTTAAGTTGTGATAGAAAATAAATGCGAAGAACTACTTTTTTTTTTTTTCTTAAAAAATATATTGGGGACTTTGTTCAAACGAAAAGAATTTCATTTTTGGTAGCATGGGATGAAATTATAAAATCTAAATATTTAATTAATCTACACCATGTGATTTGACTAATAAACAGAAAACACCACAATTATCATCAAGTAAACTGAAGGCTCTCGCCTCTGGGGCATCAGGTCAAGTGGCGGACCATTAATTGTAGACTCATGTGGGGGAGTGGACCAAAAGCCATACGTCCAGGATCGATCCCAATTATCGTGGGGTGTACTGTTGTGTGTGGATCCCACAGGCTGATAAGCCTGAGTTTCCGACTTTCCACGGGACAGGGGTGCCAGTGTGTAGGGGACCGTTGAGTGAATGTGTGAATACATCCCAGTAATTAGTAGTTAGTATTTGTTAGGAGTTTGTTTAGTAATTAGGATGTTGGTGGCGTGAGTTAGTATTATTGTTAGGATATATTTGTAAGTTTAGTAATTATTTTAGTGACGTGACTTGTTATATTAGATTTTAACGTCTTAATTACTAAACAAACTCCTAACAAATACTAACTTACTTCTAAAACTAATTAAACAGTAATAACTAATCTAAGACTAACTAATCTAAAACTAAACTAACTATAAATAATTATATTAATCTTCTAGAAACTTCATCCGTCTTGCCCATCAGGTTAGGCCTTCTTCGTGTTTGAATCTCACATCGCTTGAGCACCGTGTGTGATCTTTAGACGTGCGCCCCATCTTCTTGTGCTCCGTGCGTTCTCGCCTCGCGCAATCGTTCCTCGGGGGTGTCCACGGCTCGCGTCACCTTCCTCGTGCTTGCGCGCCTTGTATTCGAGCTCACGCTCGTCTTTTCGGCCATGCGGGCATTCTTTTGCGTCCTTCGTGCGGCATCGCCTGATCGCATCCCCTCTCGACCCTTGGTGTCCATGGGCAAAGGAACCTCCATTCTCATCACGTGCGCGAAAATGTCGTGCGAGGCGTGTGGGCGTGGTGACTAGGCGCGCGGAACGAGCACGCGTGTGGGGGTCCGGGGTTCTCGCGCACGAACAGCGGACGTGCGTAAGGCACACAAGGCCGTGGACAACGAATGCAGCTGGCGAAATGATCGTGCAAGAACGCTAGCGGGGCGTGGAGCACAAACGACAGGCGTGCCTTGCCGAGCAAGATGGTCGAACCTTCTAGAAGATTTAGAGACAAGATTCTAAAAAATATTTATTAATTAGATTAATTATATATTTATTTAGTTATTAGTCGTAAGTTAGTTTAGCTTGTTAGGATATTTATTAGTTTGGTCCATCTATAAATTACCAAACTAATAAATCTCCTAACAACTTAAACTAACTCACGGCTAATAACTAAATAAATATATAATTAATTCAATTAATAAATATCTTCTAGAATCTTGTCTCCAAATCTTCTAGAAAGCTCGACCATCTTGCTCGGCAAGGCACGCCCGTCATTTGTGCTTCACGCCCCGCACGCGTCCTTGCGCAATCATTTCGGCTCGCCAGCCGCGTCCGCTGTCCACGCTCATGTGCATATTACGCACGTCTGTTGTCCGTGCGCTAGAACCCCGGACCCCCTCGTGCATGCTCGTCCTAGCGCGCCTAGTCACCACGCCTACATGCCTCGCGCGACATTTCCCTACACGTGCCTTTGCGCTCACGTGAGCTCTGCCCGCTTCCTTACGCGGACTCTCGCCTTCTGCCCCGAGTCACGGCCAGTCCTCGCCGTCACCGTGCGAGGTTCTCGGGTCGCATTCGCGCCCGCCTGCGCCATTGTGCGTGTCGGCACCCTCGTTGTAGTGTCGCCTTGCGCGCTTGCTCACGTTGCCATATGTGCGCCTGCTAGCGCATGCGCTGTCTTGCTCGCATCAGCTCGTGTCACCCATCTTGCGCTCGCGCGCCACACACACGAGCTCGAACTCATTTCCCCAACCATGATCGTGTTGTTTTTTGCCTTCGTAATTGCCTCCGCTCTCGACTACTCTCGTCCATGGGGGCAAAACCTTGATTCTTAACACCCTCTCCCAGTGCATTGCAGGTTGCAGGGGCTCGAGGAAGGCGGACGTTCGAGGATTAATCGGTTCAACCCGATTCGTACTAGTCATTATAAATATATTCAAAAAAACTTATTCAGAAATGTAAATTTTACATATTTCTAGTATATTTTTCAATTAATAAATAATATTATTAATTTAAAGCAAAATAGCATAGAAAACAAGTTTTAACTATTTACATGTTGTAAATAGTTTTTGCATTTTTATCATATTTTGTTGTGTTTTCTTTCTATATGTGTATAAATAATGATTTAAAAAAAAAAAGAAAAAGAAAATCAGTGGGGGTCCTTATGTAGGTAGGTTCGTCATTGGTCCCAAAGGTAACAGCATGCATGCTTAAATGGCATAAACTAAAATTTCACTCAACCAAAACCACAACAGTTTAGCAAAGTGAACCCAAAAAAAAAAATAAGTAAAAAGATTAAAATAAAGAAAAGGAACGAATAAGCATGTGGATTACTGGTGAGGACACATCATGAGAACTGAGACTATAACAGCAATCAGACACAAAAATGCAGTTGCATGAGAACCAAATAAGACCGGTTCAAAACGATGCTCCAATACCACCAACCTATGGGCCGTCCTTTCTTACGTTGCCATAACCGTTGTCTCGTTTCCTACACTCTTCAGCTCCTTTAGTTTTCTGTAACCTTTATCAGTACCAAATATCCTAGAAAGGTACAAAGAAGTTAGAATCTACCTACACAATGAATTCTCACAACTTTTTCACTAGCTCTTCATAAGCATTACTCAATAAGGACGGCGTTTGAGTAACAAATCTGTTAAAGTTGATGTAGATTTTGGGAATTTGGGTCCACTAACCTTGTAACCAGGTATTTTAGATTTACTGAATGATTAAATTAACAAAGGAAAAACAGTGATAAGGACGGCCTTTTTGCCCCTTCATTTATCCTTCCTCAGTGAATTATTTGTGATAAGTAGAAAAAATTGTGCCAAGTAGTCCTACCAGACAGATCATCCCACCAGTACACAAGCAAGGGATTATAAATTTTCTAGTTGTGGATATCATCAAACGTTTTCATCATTGATTACATGTCATATGATTCATCATAGACCGTAATTTCCCGAAAGTGGTAAAAGCATAGATAGTGCACTTAGCAAATGAGATGAGCATATGCCAGAAAAACAGTACATAAACATCCTTACCAGTCCATGTAAACAAAAGTTGATGAATAGTTGCCACTCTTTGTGTAAAGCAGGCGGTGATGATAGTCGTGAAAATCAGCACTGGAAATCATCCACAAAGAAATTGCAGAACATGAAGTTGACTTAGAAATGTTAAAAAATTACGGAGCAGAAAAAGATGCAGAGGAACATACCCCCCATATAAAGGCAAGAAGTTTGAGAGACTCCATGGGAAATGATATCCACAGTGTGCCTCGACAGTTTCAAGGACTCTAAGAACCATCCATAACCACAATGTTATCAGATGGGGACCAGTGATGGCAGGACCGACTATTGTAGCAAAACCGAGAAATAGAATCTCAGCAGGGTGAGCATATTCAGAGGTCAATCCAAATGGTGTTGCATATCTGTGCAAAATTCAAGCATATTAGTAAAGACATAAAAGGAAACTGGGTGTACTATTCCTTGTAGCCAAGAAATTTTAACGAAACAAATGTTGATGATTACTTACTCATGGTGGACACTGTGTACATGCTTGTAAAGCCATTTTGTATGTAGTATCCTGTGACCCCAGTAGAAGATGAAGTCCTCCAGGATGAAGTAGAATAAGATTTGAGTTGAAACTACTTTCCTGCACGAACCAAGTCTTTAGTATAGTCTCACAAAACAAAAGAAATTTTTTTTACTGCAATTTAAGGGATAATGAGCAAAAAGGAGATTGCAATAACAACAGTCAATGTTTTATTGTCTTCTTTTATCAAGTGATCAACCCACAACCAAAGTACATACTGAATCCATAATGACTGACCACTTAATTGACACATTTGCTATGCTATGTTGGCAATTGAGCATTACCAGATAATCTAAGTTAAAGAATAACTTTGCAATTTTGTTTTCCGTAAGGAATAGAACTCCCTTTGCTGTTAGAAGAACTGATGGTCAAAGAGGAAAACCTATTGGGTTACAAGAAAATAAATTATAGGCTTTCCAGGAAAGGGAAATGCAGAAGCAAGAAAAATGTATTTCCACAAAATGTCCAGCCCAAACTATCTAAACTGCAAGCTTCCAAGTTTTCTGATGCTAAACGATATCAATCTGAAAACTCAAACTAGTTTATAAAGAACCTGAATATACCAGGACGGCAATGGTAGTGTGCTTCGCATCCCCATGAATCTGAAGACGGGATAAGATAGAATCATGACAGGTAGATTGACACCAAAGTGATACAGCAACAGTCGAGTGATACATTTTTCTTGAGCTGCAGGAGTATTATTTTTCCTCTGCACCAACCAGAAAAATAAAAATTACAATCATAGGTGTTGAACCAAGATAGAGAGAGCAGCAGAGAAATAAACTGTCTTCAGATGTTTTCAAAAATCGAGTTCTTAGTAGTTCTTAGTGCAAGACCAGCAAGAACATTAACAAGTTGAAGAAAAACCAAACCACAATGGTCATTGACTAATAGAACAGGATGATTTGGAAATTCATCTTCTGGTCAAATTTTTGCAGAGTCCCACAAATATGTGTTCAGCTTGATTTTTTTCCTTCCACAAATGAAAACTACTTGTAGTAAATTGGATAATAATACAATGATGGAAGTATCAGCGGAAACCTACATCCAACGACAAAAGAAAGAAATATTTCTCCATTTTTCTTCATCTTACTTCACAGGGCAAGGAGAATGTCTAAAGTTAAACGACTAAACATAATGCAAATAAATTATGTCGTAATACTAAGTCACTTTGAATAAGTAATAGTATAACAAGTGGCAGAAAACAATCAATTCTCAAGCAAAACAGTGTAGCAATGAAGTCAAGGTGGAACCTGAATTTTGTACTTGCTCAGCCATCCTGCCCTTTCCAAATATATGAATGGAAGTCCCGAAAAAAAGAAGATACTTTCATGAAGAAAGAAACTTCCAAGACTAGCCAGTTGGAAGTCACTGAAATGGGTAATGAGATACTGAAACAATGAAATATTCAAATGTAATTTCAGAACCAGGAAAAGTAAAACACAAGAATCAGAATAACTAACCATATATAAACACGTTAAGCAGATATAATATGCACAATATGATTCAAATAACAATGCCAAAATTTTCCATGTTTTTATAAGCAAAAAAATATTCTGTACAGCCATACAAAGGGAGTATAGGGTGTAAATATTAAAACCCATGTCTTGCACTCAAGTAAACAACAAGAATATATTCTTGAACAAGTTTATTAAGTGTTCATTGATGGTAAAATAGAGAAAAAATAATGAAATCCTGGAAAAATAGAAGAGAAATAATGAAATCATTTTTAAACTCTGAAATGATAGTTCATAAGGTTTACCCTAATGAAGCTTTTACCTTTCTACTTTGTGACCCACTATAGGAAACCTTAGCACCATAAACTTGTTCCACAAAAATCTATATTTCATCGATAAATAATGAATGCAGCTACTGCATTCCATTAATGACGATTCAAATTTATAGATGATAAACTGGTACAAGACTCAAATTCTCAAGTTCTTTGAGATCATTCTATAAACCAAAATTGGAGAAAACTCCTTCACCTAACTAAAAAAAAAAATAGGAGAAAAGGGAGTCTCATACTGACAAAACTGGAGATATACTTATGTTACTTCTGAATAGAGTTAAACATAGAGTAGGATGTGTGTAAAGCTACCAGGAATGAAATAACAAAAGACAGGCCCAGGATTCGTTGTTTTCAACAATTGATAGTAAATAGATTTCATCACAATTCTCTATTGCACTCTAAGTTTAGAAGGCCAGAGTTCTCTTTCCATACTTGACCTGTGGTTTTTTTAACTTAATAGAATCGGAAGAAATATTCTGTCCCATGAATCGAGCATCAAGTGACCATGTTCTATTATGAAGCATAGTTCCCATTGTTGAATAAGTGGTAGAACTAACCCAGAACCACCCTTTATTCACAGTATTACCTCCTACTACATTGAAAGCCAAATGCCTTATTCCAGTGAACTCTAGCTGGGATCTGTAGATGCACTCTAACAGTGACCACCATAATCTAGATCCCCAATTTGACTCTCTACAGTTCAAATTCCAACTAAAAGCAGCACTCATTCACAGGATACTTTTTCGTTTCAACCATTGAGACATCGCTGGACGTCGAGCGCAAGATTATGCAAATACTGTTTCTAACTTTCTTTACATGCAATTAGAATGGTGCAAAACAAAACACAGAATTCCAAAAAAAAAAAAAAA